GTGCAAAGTAATTAAATTGTTGACAATATCGCAATGTATTTTATCTAAGGGAAAAGGAACAAATAGGAAAATCTATTCTGGAAATATTTTATAGTGAACTAAAAAAAGTCTACACTTCCTTTTAATGGTACAAAGGGCCTGTCACCTTTTCAACTTTCATGATTGCCGTTATGTTCAATGATAACCAAAGATATTAAATGTTCTTGCAACTACTGCATCAATATTCTAACAAGAATTTTAAATGATAGATTTAAGTTGGGTTACATAGCAAACCACCTAATCTGGACTCGAATAAGGCTTATTCGCCTTAGAATCTGACAGGCCATATCAGTGTTGGTCTACATCATACAGCAGTGTAGGTCTAATGGTCTAAATCGACCATACATATGCCTTGAAGATGACGGTTGATAGCAAAATCTACATTATTTGAGGTTTGTCCTACCTTTTGACTTTAGGATGGCTCACTGGTTTCCAATTGCGTGTAGTATCCTCAAAAGTGCAGGATACTGGCTACGTTGACACAAATTCCAGTGGTTCCGTGTCCATTTATGGGATTGATAGCGTCAGAGCTATCATGCTGGATTGTACTTTACACTGCTCTAATGCCTTGAGTGGATCAAACATTGTACAATGTCTCGAGAGTACTGACAGATCTTGATCTCGCAAGCACTATCATCATTGAGGTGCTCACTTATGTAGCCAGCTGCCAATGGTATTTGAAATGTGCCACATGATATTGTCCGAAGTTATACCATGTCTAACCTCAGTTACAATTATCCGGAGAAGCATCTAGTTTGACAAATAGTGACCTATCCTTTCTGTTACAATTAATGTTAATTTTTTCACACGCTGAGCTAAGTTGTGAACACAAAGGCGCGCTTTTCGTATCGCTCCCGTGTTCTTACATACATGGGTCCTAGGATCCCATTAGGATACGCTGTTATTAGTCTAATGAGTGCCTCGATGACAACAATGAAATAGTTGGAGGCAAGCTGTGGTTTGATAACAGCCATTGCTTGAATCATCCATCCTATGACTTCACTTCAAGGTTACCTTATATGTCGCCATGTTTAATTGAGAATATTATCTCTTGTAAGATTTCCAAGTCCAAGGAACAAATGCACAATGGTTATTTCTAATGTTTTGCTATGGAAAGAAATGTTTTCGATATACTCAGAAAAACAGTAGTGAATACTCGTGGTTTGGATTGTAAATACCATTGCCATTAGAAGATGAACAATAAGATTTTTTCGGAACTGTGTTCTCGACCAACCAGTTCAGGCTTTACAATCTGTATCATACAGAGTAAAAGAAGACTCCTGCTTTGATAGTATATGTGACATCTTCGAAAGATCATTGATGATTTCCTTTGATTTGAAGGTAGCTGGGAAGTAAACATTTCAGTACAAGGATTGCGATATTTCCCTATGAGATGATGTTAAATACTTGAGGACCAGGGACGCCACAGCTTGTGGTGAAAGATGAATTTTTGTTTTGAATATTTTGGCAACGTGGTCGAGTTTTGATTAAAACCATGTAGTTTGCATTCTGCGTGGGAAGACTGGCCATATAATGGATCATCTATAGTAAGAGTGGAATGTTTCGCTACGTATCATTATCAACAACAACGTTTTGTCCTACATTCTGTGGTTTTGTTTCCTGATAATTCCTAGAACACTTAGCACAAATACCAATCTCTTGATTATTAGTGAAGGTATTGCTGCTGCGTCTACATATAAAACTTTAAGCAAACCATTGTGCTGTAGAAGTCTTACATGTCTAGCATATTTTCCTGGTTTTAATGTATTGCTTAAAAAAATTTCACAACCCGCACCTTTACATCTACCTCCCCTTTTGGACCAGGTATTGTATTATGTATTTAAAGTATCCGTCTTAATAGAAAACGTAGAAAACGAACAAGTGATTTAGGGCATTTGAGTTGTTTCATATATTGTTGGAAGATATGTCAAGTAACTATTTGTTGTATTTAACATACGAATTATAATTGACAGATATAGTCATTCAAGGACATGTCGGCATTACTTGTATACGTGATAGGGTTGTTATATATCAGAAAATGTGCATGTGTACATGAACGTTTGGGGTGTAACAGGGTTGTCTTCTATGTCGGTTATCATTCAACAAGACCTTGGTATGATACACATCAAGGCCAAACATCAACACTTTGCACAAAAGATGAAGTATAAATTTGTGGGCAGGGTTAGGGTTAGAGATAAAGCTATTTATAAGCTAAATACTTTAAAATATGGAAAGCATTCAAAATGTCATTTGTGCACAAATATTGACGTTTTTCTCGCAGAACGCTTAAAAATCAATACTTTCGGCGGTATACTTACTTTTTTAGTATTTTGGTATGTAGTTTATGTTTCGAACTTTCCTTCCTTGACTTGTTGGTTATTAACAGGAAGTCATTTAAAGACTTACAATTGTTGATCCCTGTGATGTTTTTAAAAGGGAAATGGTCATTCAGAAATAGCTTGATTTTTTAAAATGTGTGTTTGGTTGACACATTATCATCAGGTATTAGTGTCGCAGAGTGTTATTTATTTATAATAACAGCAGTTTCATTAAATCGCGTAATAATCACATGGGATAAACATTCAGAAGGTGCGTCAGTCATATTTGAAGCCATGTGTGGTAGTGACAAAAATCGCTCAAGTCAAACGATATAGTTTTCTCAAAGAAAAGTGAACGGCGGTATAAGGATATATTTGTGAACTATACTGAAGCGAATGTGTGTAAAAGTTTCGACCAAATCAACGAAGAAGTATACGGAGGACGAAATCATACGAATGATCTTTGTGGTTGACAATATCTTCGTCGAGTTTGGAGGTAAGATTTTCAAACCGGCTATTGGGACCCAACTGCGCCACCCTGTTTTGGACAGCTTTCCATCAAGTTGTTTGATAAAAGTGATGATTTCGATTTCCCTATTGTGAATTTTCCATTTCTGGATATCAAAATATACTACCTATGTTATTTGCATGTCACAGTTGATTCGATATTCAAAGGCCTGTTCCCGTTATCACGATTTTCGTGCACGAAGTCGTCAACTGAGTGACAAACATTTTTTTAACACAAAGGTTCTGAAGTTGCAGGTTGATGAAAATTATGGGACATTTCATGGTCGTCATAGTGATTTCATTGAGAAATGTACCATTTCGCTGTGCGACATGAAACTGGACGTATATGATGTTCGTTAGTTTGCCTTTGGTCTCGTTGTTGTATAATTTGTTCTTATTTGAGAAAGTGACATTATCTTCTTGGATTGACAACGATTTACACGGCAGGTGTTGTCGATGAAGCAGAAGAGGATTACTCTTCCGGATCATCCGATCTTATTTTCCTGTTACGTTTTCAGGAGTCTCCATGTAAATATTTCTTTTGTTCATATTTCGTCCTAGCTTCATGGAATTTGAGGTTGATTTATGATTATGTTGCCATTGTGGCATTTTCTTGATGGTTTTTGACAGTGATATCATTTTTAGAATACATCATTGCACCAGCATCAAACATCTGATCTTTCCTAAAAAAATATTTGAGAACCTACTTATACGTTCCTCACTGTTTTCATTAAAATAAGATGTCGATGATGAGAAGCTAATATTCAGGGTTAAGTGTTTATCTCCAGATGTGTATATAATACGTAAAATAACTACAGGAATATTGTTATGTTTATTACTGAAGGTGAGACAGGTATCAGCAGGGAACAGAACAAATATTCAAGGACGATTTAAAAATATCAGTTTAATAATCTTTTCAATATTCCATGCTGCATATTACTATACATCGGTATACACATATATAGTCATATAACAGAATTTTATTGACATCCAATATTTGCTGGTACTTGGTTTCGCTTTTTCTTTGATAACGCGAATATAGTGAAATTTAACCTTTCGCAAATATTACCAACTAAACAGTTTTAAGAACAATGACATACCAGGCATGCAACAGCGTCAAACTTAAAATAACAAAATGTCGACATAACGACATTATGAAACATTAACTTAAGGTTTATGTATTGTTAAACATATTAAGAATGTACAGCTGGGTAGTTTTGTTTTCAAGCAGTTTCAATTTTAGCTTAAATAAAAGTTGTTTCAAAATCCACAGCAAAAGTGTATTCTATTTTAGCAATATTTATACAGACCGTCATGTTAGCAATTAGCTCTCAATACACCCGGGAAGAGGTGTGGGTAGGTGTACAATATAAAGAAATAGTATACATGATTTCTGTCCTTGCAAAAGTTAAAAAACAATTAAAAATTCACACACTCAATCTGATGTACTGTACCTCAATATGAATGATCTTACAGTACCGTTTGAATTGTGTTAAGGGATATAACTCCATCAAGATACAGCATACTCTCTCGAGTATATAAAGCTTGATCATATAATTTAGCATTAAAAGCATCTTGATCAAATATACTTCTCATTGAACATCTTCAAAATGACATATTAATGGCCAAAAATATTTTTTTGATTTTTATATCTGTGCATTAGACAACACATGAACACATCGGATTATCACGATTGCGTGAGTAGAAATTGTCGAGATTTTTAATGTTTTATTCGTCTTGTATAAATGCATTTATAGCATTATGATACAGCATAGTATCTCGAGTATATAAAGTTGATCGTACAATTTTGTTTAAATATACTTCTCATTGAACATCTTGAAAATGACATATTAATGATCTGAAATAGTCTTTTCATTTTTATTCGGTGCATTAAATAACCCATGAACACCGCAGCCAATAAGCAATGAAATGTTTCAGTATACTGAAACTGAGAGAGAAGTTTCTTTAGCCTATCATTTGATAATCACAGTTGCGCAAGTAGAAACTGTCGTGATTTTCAATGTTTTACTCCTCTTTTATAATATGCAGTTTCAGCAAAAAAAGACGTTCTGTTTACAAAATCAATTACAAAAGATTGTATACTCATGATTATCCTTAATCAAAATCGGAAAAAAATCATGGAGCTGATGTCAGTGTTTCCATGGCAATAGTGACAAGTTCTGCCACTGTTCTGTCACCCACCTTTTGCGATGACAGCCATGCAAGTGCCTTCTTTTCAATCATCTCCCATAATGTCTTCTCATGCCTGTGATTTTGTCGTAAACATGCTACGCTCAAAGCTGTAGCCCAGATATTATGCTCCTGCAGATGTGTAAAAAGATACTACTTATTACAAAATATTATTTAAATATTTCACTTAACAATATACTACAAACCATTATGACATTAAATGGTCTGGTCAGATGTGTTCTTATATCCATTACATATGGGCTATTTTGCAGGGTATGGGAGGCGATTCAAAGTGTTATGTGGTTAATATTGCCAACGTCAAATCTGACTTTGTAGTGAAACATTCATGATACAGCGGTCTTTACACGCTACGCCATTTTGAAGTTATTTTTTGTATATATTTTTCGTTCTCTCCAACTTTGATTTGAAGAGAGGACTGTTATTAAACATACTCACTAGATTATCGATGTTTTTGCTTTTTAAGACATCCAAGCTTATCCCAAACACTCGAGCAAAATCTTGATTCAATGTCCAACTTCCGTCATAATTCTGGAGATTGATTAATCTCATGAGCTCTGATCCTTGATCGTCATTTATTGAGTCTGCATTTTTGCTACTGTCTTCACAATCCATCGAAAAAATATTTGAAGCTACAAATATAATAATGATAATAAATAACATATAACACTTATTAGCAATGATTCTAAATATCTCGTTGTATTTAAATATCATCTGTGTTCATCGACTAATTAGGACTGCTCGTTCAAAAATATTCACTTATATTCATCTACGTATCGACTAGAGTTGATTACGTCCGTCCACTATCAAGGTATTTCGCTTTTCAGCCGACAAGTTCCCAAAACACTAAATAATGATTGGGATTTTTTATCAAAAAAAATGGCATTGATTTTAATTCATGTTAGTAATAGCCAATATTCAGAACTGAGGGAATCGGTACATTTTGTACACTTACGCCACTTACTAAATTATTGTTTTAAGACAATACAGCGAGCGCTTTAAGATATTATGTTTAAAAATTTAAAACCATAGTGTTATCTTTAAGAAAACCCATTGAGAAAGTATTTGTGACTTTTAAGAACATTCTTTGCTAGAGAACATACTGAAAATGTACCAGCTGCAATATTTAGATAATATTTGTGATTGATGAAAAGTATTTTCTGGAGAAGATACTGAATACGTACCAGCTGCATTAGTTTTGGATGTCCTGGCTACACCTGAAGCTTTCGACTTACCTTTGAACAAAAACAATTGTTCAGTACATAATGACAGTATGATAAAGGTACTAGAAATATATTCACAGTTCTGACAACCTTTGATTAAGTTTTGATGAAATAACAAAGCGTTATCCTTGGAGGTCCTTGATAAAGCATGATAACGCTTAATCTTCCGGAACACCTTGTCTTACTATCCTTGGAGTATCTGTGCAAATCTCTCGTTTGTTTATGAGTTTGGATCAAGCTTCTGTTGCAATTTTGTATATTGTTTTTACCTATTCTATCAACAGATGACGGTACTTTATACTTTTGACAATACATATTATACAAACCGTCCAATTTCACAAAGGCAGCCTCTCACAATATATCAAGTTCGATCAAATAAATTAAAATGTCGGATTTTGTATCCTGATGTTTCCTGCTTTTAATGATACATTATCACTTGTTTGATCCCATCAACTAAATAACACAATCATGGAAACCTTCAGAACAAGGAAATTGAATCAACCTATAGTTTGTCCTTTCACACATACTTATTCACTTAATAAAACGACCATGAAGACATTTGATCGGTTTAAGTATATGTCTGCTTTATTAGATCTTTGATATGAAAATAATTAAATTACGTTCAACGTAATTCGTTTATATTTGTTATCTGGAAATGATGCTCTAAACATATAAATAAAGGGTAATGGATATTTTATAAATTACAAACGTTTTTTTTAATTCTATCGTGAAACAAATTTTATCAAAACAATTATAAAATTAACGATTTGAATCTATAAAGACAAGATAATAAAAAAATCACTCAATCATTATGCAATAGATTCCATTTATGTATTTACAATTTGAGGTCTGTTGTTAGTTAGACATGAGGCTGATTTAGATAATAGTTAGGTGACATTAGTGTTGAATAAGTGATGAATAAACTCACGAAATTTGGAGAAGAAGGATAGTACAGATGAGCCTTTACTCCGACGTGCAGCTTTTTGCGATTTAGGTGCAACAGTCGTAGGACTCGAATCTAATGAATAGCGCTTTAAGTGAAGTGAAGTTGACTGAAATATAGTAAATGCTATTCTAGTTAATAAATTGTAATACAAATACACATTATATCTATCCAGTAATAAGCCCAGGAAATAATGGCTTTCATTGGAGAGTGGGGTTTACCTTTATATCGTGGCTATGAAATACCACTTGTTCACATTTCTTCTGATATGGTGCTTTAAATGTATATATTTATAAATGTATTACAAGACATGAACTTGTTGGTAGATAGATAAGGTGTTTTACGATGTATGGGAATATAAGTTAATTACTACACATGGACTTGCTGGTGGATAGATAAGGTGTTTTAGGATGTATGGGAATATAAGTTTAAGTTAACAAGTTCTCCTTCAAGTTCAAGCCTTGACTCATTGATAGGTGCATGTTATGTTCTTTGATACTTGTAGCTATTTAAATGATTCGAAACCATATATACATGAACAATCAAAGAAATTCAGTCAGGTCATAGTATTACACAAAATATAAAATTACCGTAAATGTAAACGACATAAGGACTAGTTTTCATCACTTACAGCGCTACAGCAATATCTTGATAGCAGACCCATATCTGTTAGTTGATGTCTATCTGTTAGTTGATGTCCATCTACCAATTCTTTCGTCTCCTTATCAACACCAACAAATCCTGTATACCGGGACACCACATTGGCTGATATACTCATCATAGTTATCTCCCCTTTCTTGCTGTCATCATCTGAAATATTGCAAGAATCTTCATGTGGAGGCACTGGTGTATCAGGTAACTAAAACTGTACTTTAACCACTGTCTCACATGTGCAGTGCAGCGGTATATTTTGCTGTTCATGACCCAATGGACAATTAGCGCAATTAGAAACATATCAACATTTTTATCAAACTTAAAATCTTCAAAGAGAAGTATGTGAAATTATTACTATTTTTACCTGTAGTGTGTGTTTCAAACTCTTTTATCTGGGTCTTTGCTGCCAGACGATGGACTGGGAATGTCTCATCATAGAAGATGTTTGTGATAAGGTCAAAGGTCATACTATGTTGTAGATTATTTTGCTTCTCTATGTCTCCTGTCAGGACAACAGAAGTTGGACCTCCCTAGAAAATGTCGGAATTAACAAAATTATATTTTGTGTGTATGTATCGTCTACACTTGTAACTACAACCCGCCAAAATTTAAGCGATAAGATGTGGTAGTTATAGACAGGAGGTAGTTATAGACTGCATGAAAGTATAGAAATATGGTATAAAACAATATTCTTATTCACTTATTCAAAACTGTTGCTCTTACATACAATACCGATGGCATGAAAGGACAAACATATAACTTTTTTATTATTCATTAATTGGTAGGTTACAGTTTGAGTTTCTTGTTTATTCTTCCTCTCTCTATGCGTCTCATTGGTGTAAATGTTGATCGCTGCGAATAGAATATGGTCGCGCCTATGCCTTTTCAAAAATTCATAAAAATATATGTCCAACTAATTCCCTAATAGTTTCTTCTCTTGACCTATTTGATAAATATGCCTCTGTGCAGGGGTTATCACACCTACTCTGCATATCGTGGAAAGATGAAAAGTCCGAATATCTTCACTATATTGCGTAAATATAAACAAATGGTAGTTTTATATAAGTACTAATTTATCGACGGGTGGTAACTATAGGCAGATGACAGTGATAGATCGATGGTAATTTATAGACAGGTGGCAGTTATAGAACATTGGTAGCTATAGACAGGTGGAATTGTATCGACAAGTTGTAGTTAGGGTCAGGGTTAGGGTTATATGCCAAACTATGTTCCTTTTACCTCTGTGAGATTTTCCGCTCCCTGAACAAGCGCATACGCAATCAATTTGCCTCCCTCAAATACAGGTGGGATCTGCTCAGGGATGTTAATAACTGTACATCCTGATGGAAGAGTCCACTCCAACTTAAGATTAGTAACCGGGTGTTGCATGGCACATTTGAGTACAGCCATCACCTATGAACAGGTGTGAATACTTCGTAACTTTTGTAGTATACACGTATTTAAAGGAAATACTCAACTGTATAATACGGGGAGAAAATTGTCATTATCTCAACCTATTCTAAAATTATCTGATGTATGAAAATTAGAAAATTTATCTAGTTAGGGGGCAGTTGAACTTGTCATTCCAAATTTTGACTTTCTTTTGACCACTTTGGATTTTCCCCCAAGCTTCACATTTTAGGCCCTTAGCATCAGTGACAAGTCCTAGATGGACGACACGGCTGTGTGATACAGTTTTTTTTTTTTTTTTTTTTGCCTCCTTATAAATATTCACCATGTACGTTTCCAAAGGTACCATTGACCATGACACATTTAACATTTAACAAAACTAAGTTGTACATATATCCGAACAGATACAAAATCTATAGAACATCAGAGTAATTCGGATTCCATTGTTGGTATTAATATCTTAAAATATGTATTATCACCTTTTCTTGGAGCTTTTCATTGTCACGCACAAACGTTGCTTGACCGTTGGTAACCTTAGCAACATTACTTATTAGTGATGTAGAAGCTCCAGATCCAATACCAAAAGTAAATATTCTGAAAATAAACTCATGTGTTGAGAACATTAGGGTAACGATTAACAAAAATGGCATGTAAATAGCTACAGCTTTTCCTGATTGGATTTCACAGAAATATTCAGTAAGTCCTGGAGCACCGCTATTGCGACCATCTTGACCTCACAGTTAAGTTCATATAATTTTCTATTTGTAACAATATTCATTATAACATCTGAATAAAAACATCCTCGTGAATGATGTTTTATTCAGATTGATGCTCGAAATACCCACGTCGTTTTACAATGTTCTCTTAATTAGCATCCTTTTGTATACAAACGCATTCTGATCTGAGTTACTTCCCTTCATTGCAAGTGACTGGCATATCAATAATATCGATAGCTGAGGAATGACGAGAACGGCATCAATCTTCCTGTTTTACTTAACCTAAATATCCCTTGTATCTACCTTGAAGTTAAGACATTTTTCCTGGCAAGGCTTATGACCGCATTGGTATTGGACACTTCTCCGTCCGTCATAAGGAATACCTAGCAGTAGGTAACATGTTAAATGATTATTACATTTATCTAACTCATTTGCCTTTATTATCTATTTATTTATATATTTATTGATTTGTTTATTTACTTTCCATCACTACTGATCAAAAAGTAGGTAACATGAAACAAAATCTGGCAAAATATACCTAGCACATTTTGTTTTTTCAGTGCACTATAATAAATCAAATAATGATAAATTGAATAAGTTAACTGATCAGAGGTAGTTTACCTGTCTGAATGCGTTAGATTTTTGGGCGTACATAGATTCCAGTGGTTGTAATATTTCTGTTCCACCCATATTTGCATCAAGTGTCTGATGAAACGTAAGAGCATTCTTTAAGCTTTCTTCATCATAGTTCTTTGCACTGAAATTCGATGAAAAAATTATTTATGTTTATTTTCTGACAACACTAACCGTTGGCACTAACTCACTAGTTTATAGGTGTATTTGATGAAATAAAGTAATACAAAAAATACCAAATATCAACATAATTTTGATTAAAGTACAAATGCTGAAGAACCAGAGCAAAATATGAACAAAACAAAGATACACATAGAGACTCCTGAACAGGTAGAAGGGAAATGATCCAGGTGTTCCAGAAGGGTAAGCGTTTTCTACGTCATCGATTCAAACCGCTATTCCAATCTTTGTCAGTTCAAGTAAGTATCATCACGTTCCCAAATGAGGACATAGTAAACAACAACGGAACCACCAGACTTACTAAAGAGTATCGAACACACATATCCTAGTACGGGCTCACACAAATAAAAAGTCATACATTTACAAGTACATTCGTTTTATTCGAAATACATGGTTAATAGAACCCTATATTGTCTGTTCTGTAGACAGGGATATACCATTCCAATGGTAAGGTTCGACATGTCAACAAGTGGCTTTCTGGGTGTTGTCCAGTCAAACTCTTGCACAAGGGTTGAACTATCCATATCCAAAGAACAAACCCATGTTAAATTATTTTTCACTCTTACATACAAAAACATAATAGGTTGTGAAACATATTAATCGCGCCATTGACAATATCGCATATATGTCGATGGATTTGCAACGTGGTTACGCTTCATAAGAGGGTAACTCTTACTATTATGAGTAGCGTCATAGCACGTGCATTCTGTTATTTCCTCGGTGTGATGAACTCCCGAAATTCCAATGATAAAGCACATAACGCATTGATATAATCCGACAATGATGGGAGTTTTTTCTTCACTGTCTTTGTAATGTCTGAATGCAACAAGGAAATATGTGAAATGTAAACACAAATCACCCTTACCTGGAGAATAGCCATTTGAAAGAGCTTCCAAATGTAACCATGTTAAACGAGCAGCCAACAGGCAAACTTTTGAGTAGGAGCAACACTGTTTCTTTTGCTTTTGCAATCCGATCTCCACGCATACTTCCTGTGTGAAAAAGTTCCATTTTAGCCAATGTATAGCTAATGCATTAAAATTCCTCTAAACGAAAAATGTGAATGCGCGATAGATACTGTCATTAACTTTTTGTTACGCTTTTTGATGAACAATGACAAAAATGGGTGTTATGAGAAATTACCTGAGCAATCAATGACAAAGACAAACTCTACTTCTGTCAGTTCAGGCACAGATCTCAAATCAGGCAGGAAGTCTACCATTACAACATCACTCTTCAAGAAACCTTCTACAAACAAATGAAATAACGAAAAGTTAAACAGAAGAAACCGTCATCTTGATAAGAACAATATATAGAGAAGCTGTTTCTGAAAATTTATTTCGTATCAACATAAAAGAGCATATCTTTGACATTTGGTTAACTTTGTTTTTCCTTAAGGAATCAATAACCATGAAGGAACAAACTTTGAATCTTAAATATTCTCCAACCTGCATGTAAAGGACATTCAATAAAGCAAATTAAAATGACCTATATATATGAACAGGTCAAGGTTCAATACAATAAATGGAACCATACATGTACAGTATGCAATTCAGTGGCCAAGTTTGACTGTATTACGCCTTTAGACTAGAACCTGGAGTCTGATTTTATATTTGAAGGCTAGAAACACAATTATATCTGTAAATGACGACTCTTTATGTACCTTCGATAAGATTTCGTTTCTACTCTCTCTCTCTATATAAATAGATTATCTATCGTTCATATGTATACCTTGATCTTGCTTTCCTTTCTCCAGAATAATAGTTGGCTGAAAAACATCCTCGTACTCCAAGGTCAATGAAAGGTCATGGTCAAACTTCAACTTAGAGGCATCAGCGAGAGTTACCTAAAACATTGATCCCAGAGGACTGTAAAACATGTTTCCCTCCCAATAGTCTTGTTTGATTTACCTTTCCTTAATATGTTTACAATGTATCTTATTGTTTGACTTTTCTGTAAGACGAGATAAGAGTTATTACTGTGCAATTGCAGTGACTGCGGCAAACAACAACAGTGCATATGCAAAAAGTCATGTGTACGCTCTGGTCTTGACAGATTCATTTTTAAATTAATTAATAACATATGACATATTGCTGTCCAGCGATCATATAATTCGTCGAATTTACCACACATTAAAGCAGATAACAACATTATGATGCCGATTATTGCCAGATTGTTATTACTCTAGTTTAGCAATTTCAAAATTTACTTATTTTCAATATGTTCAAATTCAAATTAGATATCATGAATCGTTTGTTTTCAAGTCTTAAAATTTCATTTTATGATTGTTGACAGGAGACATTTTTGTTATACGATATAGAAAGACAGAATGCAAATATCATTTTTGTTCAGACGCACTACTTTTAGAAATTGAATTATTTAAAGGAAATATTCCTTACATTGGCCGCCATTTTATCCCCCGATATATCAACTACCATAGTATCCTTCTTTGATGTTATTCTTTTTATCATATGCTGTCCTTCGACCCGAGTCTCAAACTTCATCTGGTACGGAATGTCAGCATACTGAACGGAATCCGAAGAAAGCTTCGGGCCAGCAAAATCTAGAGATAAACAAGACCAAGACTTGAACACAACTAAAACACATGTGGAACGAGACGAAGGTGAAAGTCATTAAAAAACTATAGAAAACAGCACCGACATTTGTGTGGAATTAAAGTAAAAAGTATATCCATGAAACAATTGAGAAAAGGAAAGTACTGCAAGGGGTCAAGGCATCCACAATTATATATTTTTATTGTTTCTGTGTTAACTTGATCCTTTCGTCCCTTTCTTCTATTTTTCATTAACGTCAAATGATAAGAAGACCACACCATTACATAAGACAAAACTTACAGAAAATAGGAGAATCAAGTTCTTCTTATGTGATAGCAGTGCAAAACCGTTGTTCGTAAAATAAATGATATTCAAATTAGGATAAGATCCAAGATGGCCGCCTATCGGCCAATTTGTTTTTCCGTCAGATCACCTACAGATGACAATACTGAAATGATGATCCCATATATTAGAAAATTATTCATCCTTAACTTATACACAAAATGCCACAACAATCATTAACTCGTAAAATAAAAAATAGCTACCTGTGTCAGCCACGGAGATGGGTTACCACCATAAATCTAACTTTCGTTTATACACAAATGTATGTATTGTAGAGAAATGTTATTGGTTCTAATACTTATCTTGGTATTTAAACCGAAATGCTGATCTTACAATCATTGTACACCATTGCAACTACTAAATGTAGGACACACAAAATATTTCAGGTCCTCAGTCCGATAATCATATTCTACAGGAACAATTATAAGTCTAATCTTCGTATGAAAGGCAATCAGAATTGCACCCCCTTATCACATCTGAAGTATGTCTTAATATTCTAAATACAAAAGAGTAAATCTACTAATTGTTGATAACTACTAGTAACATCGACTTGAAAATCACCTTCATGATCACAGACTTGAAGCCTCAGTTTATTCTGATTGAGTGTTCGCCCTTAATTGCAATTACCTGTTGGGGAATATCTAGGATTGAGCACAGTTGGGAGGGTAAAGGTCACAACTCCAGCACTGTCAACAGCCAGGTCTGTGACGTAAGAAAATTTCAATATGGTCGACTTGTGAGGCAGCAGGTTTCCAAGTTTACATTCGAAAGTGTCTCCAGCAGTGTCCATCTCCGAAAGCAACATGGCAGCGTGACCTGTTGCCAAAGCATCTGTATACGTTTCACGGGCCTGTCAATCAATACATTTGAATGAAATGTATCTATTGTAAATCAATACAATGTATCTATTGTGAATCAATACAATGTATCTATTGTAAATCAATACATTGTGTCTACAATCTACTATATCACCATGATATAGATCAACATCATTACTTTACCTGTGTTTTGTCCTGACATTCCGCAATGATGTGACGCACATCTATATCGGCTTCAAAGTGGTACACTGCTGACTGGTCATCTATCGGGAACACGAATACGGTTTCAACAGCAACATCCTGCTGGTTCTTATATGTCAAAGTCGACTGAACGTTTGCGACAAACCATTTTATTGTTACCTCCACTGCTATTGCCTTTAGTGGAACTACAAAATGAGGTAAGTTATTCATTTCCAAAGTCACCATGATACTGCAGTTGCAAGGAACTTTACACAGACATGTATTAAACCACTGCCAATAGAGTTTCACAATGCCATGGCAGAGAACATCAGGAAAAGTCTTAAGACGCGCCTTCAGTATAAATTGCAAACGCTTAAAGCCTGAAAACACTCTGATACAGATTGTCAATACTTTAAGCTTGAAAACACTGTTTTTAATACAAATTGCCTTTTTTCCAATTAGTTTTCATTGTCTTCTTAGGCCAAAACATAATGCATCTGTGGCAGAGCTGGATTTTTTAAAATTTATTTATATGTATATGTGTTATTGTATATGTCCAATAAAAGGGTCATAGGTCAAGAGTGTGACGTCACCGTCTATCTCTTATTTGACTGGTCAGTGTGCTTGCGCGGTTTCATTTGTGTGTAGACGGAGAGTTGACAGAATGACAGCAGTGACGATGGACACTGAAAGAAGAGAGGTATGATCTCGATTTCAGAATTAATATGTTCTAACCTGTTATACTTGCCCTTTATCCCAACCGTCGCGCGGTATTTTTCAAAGAGTCCTTGGTATTATTTGTTCTTTTTTTTTTTGTGATATTTTGTGTGCGTACGTGTGGGGTTTACCCGAGTGACCGCCATTATACCGGCCGGTACGATCGTGTTTTTCTTCAATTTTATTTTCACTATTGTTTATGTATTTACAGATGTCATAGTTGTATTCGTATCAAATGAATTAGCTGGGCAAGTAGCCAAGGCCTTCTGCCACACAGAGGTGATTATCAATTTAGTAAATTAGTTATATATTTGTGTCCCTTTTATTAGTGTAACACGTTCGTGAATGTGATTTGCCATTCACGAGTATCAATAAAGAAGTATATATTGTAATGAGAAGTCCATACACTTATGAAATATGTGTAAAGGTAATTTATAATTTATTGAAATAATAGTTAAGGAAATAATTATATTATATGTTTCCAATTTATTACTTGTTATTCTATTATTCCCAGTTAAACGTACGTATTTTATGGATAAGTGTTAACAGTCAGTCCGTAATCGTCTATGTAATATGTGTATCAATAATGTTAAGAGTGAGTGTAGTAAGTCTTGTGTTTTGTATCGTTTCAGGGTATTCTTTTGAATACTAAAATAAATCGACTGGTCAGGAAACAATTCTACTGAGCAGAGTTGTTTGTTTCACACTCATACACCCCTCGGTTTCACATCTTACTTTAATATTCCAATCTCATAGGGTAGCCACTGACATAATGTTTCTAGGAATAAGGTACTTTCTAAATGAAATGCTAAGGTTACTGGTTAAAAATGCTTTATGATATAAATTGCACATTTCAATGAAAAAAAGATACACATTAATGAACAGCACCTTTCAATACAAATTTATAGACATATACGCAATACCCAACAATACGATGCTAGAGTTTTAGATTTAGAGTGTTTGAAAGCACATTTTCCATTTGGCTCGTTCTCTCTAAATTTCAAGGTAAAGTTTTATCCTTAACATCTAGCAATGCGCTACTGAGTGTTGTTTATATGTCTATAAAATTTCAATTGATATGGGTTGTTCACTGATGCGTATGTTTTGTACATTTAAATGTACACTTTCTTAAAAGACGTTCTTGGGGTATCCTGTTCTATAAAAAACGTATCGTTTTATAACCTCACATATATTAACATTTGCGAGACAATGCCACTATGTAAAGAAACAACTTCCTGGTGAGGTGATTCTTAACTGTGTAATCCTAGACTCTACCACTGATCAATGTCTTCCCGACAAGGAGATTCCCGGCCGCGTAAGCTATTGTCCTACCCTCAGGCTAAAAGAATACGACACTGACATCCATGAACAACATTTGATTATACTATATCTAGGTGTTGAGAAGAGGATTTTTGAACTTTGTGTCTATTTGACCGATTCGGATTTTCTCTGAATTAATATACAAAAAAAGGTGTTTCAAGTGAAAATTGAAATATCCGGGTGAGTGATACTGGTCTCGTGGACGTCTAAATTGTGAGCTTTCTTCTCCAAGAAAGGTGAACAGAGATATAGATATATGGTTGTGACCTATAATGAAGCGTATTTTGTAAAAATTACGCCCAAATGTTGACCGAGTTTCTGTTCGACAACATTTTCGTCGAGTTTGGTGGTAAGATTTTCCAACAGATTATTGACATACCTATGGGAAGCAAATGAGCGCCTCTACTGGCTGAATTGCCTTTATTTCCAGTTCAATTCGTCTTACCTCGATCATGACATGCCTGGCTGTCTTGTATACCTTGGATCCTGAGTCCGTACGGCATTTTTCTCACTCTAGAGTTTTACGATGTTTACCGGCTTCACACAAAGTAGCTGTTTATGGGTATTACAGATCTAATTGACATGTCATACAAATCACGGACATGTGTACAGTGTACTAGCGTCGTGTGTTGATAATCCAATGGCCAGTACACGTACAGGTGTAAGCGGTATAAACGACGCAATATAACAGATATAGCCAGGTAGATGGAGCTAGTGTGGTCTACGTCACCAAATTTGCATTTCAAACTTCCGCATCCCTTTTAATGTTTCATGACTATTTTAGACGTGTGCATCTGTCTACGGTAACAAATTCAGCTCAGATATTTCGACATTTATCTTTAAGGTGTCATGACCATTTTTAGACACGGATCGCTTTCAATTGATCTGTTTAACCAGTTAAATCGGAATTGTTCGTTCGTTCACAGGCCCACTGATAAACTGGCATTTAATTATAGAAGAAAGTGATTCTTTTCCTCAGAAAAGCAATCTGGACTCTCATATAGACCCTCATGAAAATACGAGACATTTTTACAAGCACTGATTAAGTCAAAGCTTCGTACAAAAATTGTGTTGTAATACATAGGTACATGTATTTATATGAACACTATTTCGGCTGAATGATTGACAATTTGACGATGCCAACTCAAAAACCGTTCCATGCCAAGAGGGCGTGGCAGCATATTTGTAAAGATTTTTTTTCTTTTTCAGAATTACATTTCATGGAGAATTGAAGTTTTTGATATGAAAAAATCACAAAATGATTATAGAGCAATTATCGATATTTACTTAGTGATGAACATTAGAACCGACGAAACACCAATCCTTATGTGTTTGTAGATAAAAACACTATTGTGGAATTACTTCAGAGATTCGTTAGCGATACAAATCGCTTTTATTATATAATTACTTTTGTATCCATTTTTTACTACATATCTAGGTCTTTTCATCAATTGTCTAGTATGGATCAGCACAGGTTGAAGAATTTTATGGGCAGTTTGTCAGTGTTGACCTACTGACCAAGTCTGAGGAACCGACTGATATTTGTGGTAGCTGTTAACAATTATTAAAACAAATCTGTAGCATAGTTCACCTATTGTCATATTTCATCATTACATGTAATGTTATAACTTTGTGTACTTTTGTAATTAAATTGATAAGTATTATGTTACATTTTCTAAGCGGATTTCCACAGGCTTTGCGTGTTTCCCAATTCCTTTTGCTTTAAGATCATTGCAATAAAATTATTCTGAAATGAAATGTGTTTTTTTACAGACATCGAGTTTATTTTTGTCAAATTGCATGAAGAACCATATCATAATGACTGCTGCTCATTCATGTTCAACGTTGGAATACATATTGCGATTTATATATTGTGTGTACTTCTCACTATATCAGTTTAGATATGACGGAAGGGGCACGTGTATTTTGATTTGGAGAGGATCAATACATGATATCGATGAAAGTTATTGAGGTATTGAGTCGAGGCCTAGGTTAATGTAGACCTATTTGCTATCTAAAATAGAATTAGAAAATGGTATGTATTCCCTTTTTATTAAAAGAATTCCTCATCAAGTAAAACTTCCAGAAATAGAGGATTATTGCCCAAACGTTGTATAGATAATAACGGTTGTTAACAAATAAATTACATAGTATACATCACGAAAACATCAACCTAACCTTCATCATGATAAGTGTTTGTATATTGTGAGATATCCTCTCATCATAATGCAAGTATATATTGTTCAAAATGTCCTCTCTTTTTCATCAGATAGACCTAGTCATATTCTATATCCTAATTCACCTATCACAGTAATTCGGTTCTAATACATTTTATGACTTCATAGAATACATTCCTTGTTGGCTCTCTCGGTTAAATAACTTTTTCTCTTTGGCACATTTGATTGAGCATTGGTTTTGTGAACCAGTTGTAGACACGACCATCAACATAAATGTATATGTGATGCACGGGGAGATTTAACAATTTTCTAAGAGATGGGGCTTGTGTTTAGTATACTATATAAGCTCCCTTTCCCAGAAACTTTAATGCTTGATAATTTAACTCTCATTCATGACCGTTGACACCTTTTGGTATTGTGTCCTGTCAGTTTCTCCTTTCTTATTTCAATTCTTGTTCATGTTCCCGGCGTTCAATCTCTCCCGGTCATTTGGACAAATTTTGAGGGGCCATGTATTTAATTATACTTATTTAATCCCTTGTTTCTATCTGGTTAATCTGGTTTACTGACATTATCCGTTCTACATTTATCTTTTAAAAATGTTTTGTCACGTACGTAGTGTCTGTAATAAATAAATAACGAAACAAGCTGCCACATGTAAGATAAAAAAAGAAGTTGGTTTGGAAAGATTCTAGAAAGATCATTGATTTTGGGACTTTCCTATGTTTTTGCCCTTGATTATATGAAAGCTGAAAATTACTCTAAGAAATAATGATAATATCCAAGATAATCCAAGACGCTCGTTTGTTGGCCATTTTGTTTTTCTGATCAGTCCGAAAATCAAGAAGGCAAAACTGGGAACCACTGTTTTCGAGTGATATTTGTGAAATTTAGATGTGGTTTGATACTGATAATGTTGTTGGAGTCACTCTCCAGAAAGTGTGGTAACGAACAATAAAATGTCAAATTCAATATGGCTACTGATGGAGAAACTAAAAATCCAATCCATCTAACAAGAGATCCCCGAGGGATCTTTGCATCCATCATTGTTTGATTTATACTTGTTCTTTACAGTAGGATATTTTCTATGCTCATCTCTTTTTTCCTCTATTTTTTGCTCTTAATGATACGAAATTTGAACATTTCTCTGCAGAAATAGCAATAAGCTTTAACTGCCAAATTCAAGATAGTCGCGTGTCAGCCATTTTTTTCTGAGCAGTTCCAAAATCAAATGGGCACAAGTAGGGGCCAAAGGGAACCTACATATAGAATTCCAGAGATCCATCCGTACTTAACTAAGCGAAATCCAAGATGGCCGTCTCTTGGCCATTTGGTTTTTCTGATCAGTCCTTAAATCATACAGAAATAACACGGAACAAGGGAAATCAACAAATGAAATTTGAGAGAGATCTATGCGGTGCTTTTATAGGCGAAATACAAGATGGCCGTCTCTTGGCCTTTTTGTCCCTCCGAACAGTCCTAAAATAATACAGAAATAACACAGAGTAAGGAAAATCTACGAAAGAGATTTGAGAGGTAACCATCGAGTAAGAAATAGCATAACAACACTGTATGACGGACGAATCCCGAATGTGATCTGTATAACTCAGGCAAATTCTGAACATGTTCATCAAGTTTCAAGGAGATCATTTCAGTTATGCCTCTGAAATAGGACTAACTTTAAAGAAAGACAGACCACAGACATAAGATGATCCTTGAAAACACCAGATATAGGTAACATGATAACAGAAATACACAAGGACTGATTAATCATTGGTACTTTTTTTTAATTTCTCAACAGTATATCTGTATATGTGAATACTTACTATTGTACCCAGCTTTATCATTTTCATGGCAGTTACATTCTATAATAAATTTTGAATACCTTAAATGAATGTTATCAACATATCATATACAAAACCTGTTTTATTCACAGCTAATTCCTGTAAATGTATGCATATCACCAGTAGTCTTATTTTGGTAGTTTATTTTGCACTGAAGATATCTATGATCACACATGTCTGTTGTTAGAATAGCAATTATTGTGAATGTGCAAATTCATCATTGCGCTTAATTGTACAAAGTTGATACTGAACTAAAATTAGATTGCACCAAAATCAATATATTTACATTTAATTATCAATCAATGTGATTTACTTGGTAGTACCACTAGAATCATGAAAATCAAAGCATATGTTATGATCCAAAACATATTTCCATTAATTGACACACTGTTAAAATAATTATTTATTATCAAAGATTTCTTTAAAGTGTTAGTGAGGAAATGTTATATATACATATCTGACAATATCATTTTAAAATTCACTCAAAACATGAGATCAAAACACTGCAGAAGTAACTAAGGAGAGCACTCCCTTACGACCACAACTCTGTACTGTTATTTCTGTTTTGAATAAATGTTAAACTGATGTAGAGTGAAACCTATCTCATCAAAAATCCTGTAAAATATACGTCTCAAACATTGGCCTAGAGTCACAATGTACCTGTCTAATAGGCCTACTTAACACCAAAACATCAGCTAGATATACTGTAAACATGGAAATTTTCAGGTAGGGAAAATTTACACTAAATATGCGGAAGTCATTTGGCGGCGTAAACTTCATCCAAGCATATGAATTTCTGATGTATTACACAAATATCAAGATATACAATAAATATACAAAGGACCATTGATCATGAAAATATTCTGAACAAGTACATTTTGCCTGTTTAAATACAGAATTTAATCCCCATGTCAATAACCATGTTTACAGTATATCAGTTGATCCTAGTGACATTTGATATATTCTTTACATAATAAAAAAAAAATCAGTAAATCTCAAAATGTGGACTTGAGAGTTGTTACTGAATATTATCACTATTTCATCCTTAAAGTGTAAAGAACAGCAAATGAAATCAGACAAAATATGACCCAATCCTGACTGTGTTAACCTTATATAATGTACCCTTAACTTTAAGCATTATTTGTTTTAAAAATTGGTCTGAATTTCAAGTGTCTAAATTAATGAAAACAAATAAAAAGATATACCTCCCCATCTACACCCTCAATTTTTTTTTCTAATCTAAATCCATTGAGAGGTCATGAGATATTTTATACTCAAGCCTTCTATTTCAAAAGTGACTAACAGTGACCTTTGACTTCTGACCTTGACCTACAACCACCAAAATCTAATCCTATGTAGGCAATGGTGGGATGATGCTTTGGTGTAAATATGCACTAATCACATTCAGTAGATATCTTGTACACAAGGTTAACATGCACACATGGATGCATGCATGCATGTATAAATACCTAAGTAGGGTGGGAGGTGGGGTTGGTATTGTTTTGTTCAATTGTAAGTATTTTTAACTAGATGTAAGGATGTCAAACATCTTTATGTTACTTTTTCATAGATGACTAAATATATATATATTGTAACATTGATAGAGTTAAAAAAAAACAAATGTGCCAAGAAAAAATAAATAAATCAGCAGTGTTAAGTAAACGACAATCCTCCACATCCTTATTGTTTTACTTTTATAATCATAAACAGTGGGTGTAATGTACTATTACCCATGTTTGCAATAAACTTATATTCTTAAAAAATAAATGACCACAAATAAACAATTCTATAAACATATTATCATAACCCATATATATAAAAACAAAATTTAATCAGCAATATGTCATTATTGTGCCTGGAAAATCCATTGTGAAGGACATATTTTACCTTACAATACAATGGATCTCCTGTTTATTTAAGTTCCACACACAATACTAGCTTTGAGCTAGTATAGTCTTAGAATACTACATTATAAATCCTATAGAACCTTATTTTATTTATTTGTTTTCAATTCATATAAGAATACAATATTATCTTTATGTTATGCCCCACTTACCATTTTACTGCATTTTGTAACACTGCAGTTCTATTTTCTCACTTTTCAAAAATAAATTCTGTGAAATCAACTGACCCTTGGGTACAGTATATTTTGGCTCTCACAAATAGTTTTGACACTTGAATTTGAAGGGACATGTTTCACGTTTTCACCCTTCAGATTTGCAATTTGACTGCAGAAATTACTGAATGTCAAGGGTCAACAGAGTACACTAAAATTTTCTGTAATTCTCAATCAAAAAATTTTTTTTCGTGTCAAAAACTTTAATTAACTTTAATTGATAATGACTGGAGTATAATAGAATTCTATTTTAGATGAAAAAGTATACAATTTATCAACCAAGATAATTGGAGCATAAGAATACCATATATGAAATGAAAGCAAATAACATATTCTGTTTATCAAACATTTGAACAAGGAACTCCAGATCACTTGTCCTTTATCAAAATGGTCAACATCACAGTGATAGGAAGTCAACAAAGGTAAACTAATTAGTACCCTTGTTGTCATACTTGAGTCAAATTTGGACCGGAGGAGAAATTATTCACAACTGGTCGGCTTTGTTCCTGAGCCAAACTAGCAGTCTTAGCTTGTACAACCTGAAATGAAATGAAATGATTTTTAATAGTAAAATATATACAGTAATAAACATTGTCTACCGAAATGTAGTTTCCTTTGTTAGAATTTCCTTAAAAACATCACTACTAGATTTATCTGACAATAAACTCATGCCTGATGATAAGCCCACCCTGATCTACTGATGGTTTACTTGAACTATGAACAGGGGATATTTGCCTGTCCTTTACATTCAATAAGACTACATCAGACTTTCCAATAGTGATAATTTAAATAATATTTATAGTGATTGCAAGTCGAATAAAACTGAAATGGTTTGGTAAGAGAGACAAAGCACCTCACTTAAATGTAATGTGCCAATCTCATGCTTGCCCACTCCCAATGCCATTTAAAATTCCAGCACATTGGAATAAGGCTACATTTGTATGTGCAAAAGTGCTGTATCACTGTGGGCATTGACAATCTGTTACAGTGTTAATGACAGAATGGACTGATCCTAAATTCACACCACCATATGCTAACATTAAATTGGAACACTTTGCAAAAGGTTATACACATATGGCAGAAAACTCACATCTCTAAGAAACTGGAGAAAAGCCTCGTAGTATCCAGAACACATCCAAGTCTCATTGTGGCTACCTTGGTCAAATCTGTGTATTCTCTTCATTCCACTACCAGACAGCTATAAAATATAGGATTAAAACAGTTTTGAAATTATACAATATTGAAATCATCATCATCATCATCATCATCATCATCATCATCATCATCATCATCATCATCATCATCATCATCATCATCATCATCATCATCATCATCATCATCATCATCATCATCATCATCATCATCATCATTATCATTATCATCATCATCAACATCATCATCATCATCATCATCATCATCATCATCATCATCATCATCATCATCATCATCATCATCATCATCATCATCATCATCATCATCATCATCATCATCATCATCATCATCATCATCATCATCATCATCATTATCATCATCATCATCAATAACATCATCATCATAATACACATACAGTAAAACTCACTTGTGACAAGCATGCTTCAATTGAATACATGAGATAAGTCAAATGTTTTTTTTCGTCCTGATTTTTTCTCTTCTCTATCTTAGTCAATTAAACATGGATGACTTGAACACTGTGGAGTCAAATACTGTGTTTGAGTCAAATATATTTTGTACTCTGTCCCTTCTAAATTCTACCAAAATTTCTTTTTTTGTGTCGAACATTCAGGAATCACCTTGTCTCAGGAAAAAATTTCCTGGCTTTGGTCTGAATGACAGAGTGTGATCTGTCAGTTGTATCTGTTAACAAGCCCTTTTGTAATTCTCAATCGAACATTAATCCCTGTGTTCACACATGTGAAAATTGGAATTTATACAGAATTAGGCAACCAAACTCACAACAAAATACACAGTAGTCTGTTAACCCCAAATCTGTTTGTTTACCTTTTTTATTTACATGGCTGCAGGAAGCCAAAATTTCTTGGTTATGCTCTTATGGTGCTGTGCGTGTAAATTTATGCTTCAGTGATGTTGTCGTGACCTTCACCTTTTTGTACCCCAGTTTAGCACTACTGAGTTTTATTTGAAAATATTGTTGACAGGACTTATTACTCTTAAAAATATAAATGTGAGTACAATATTTGTACTACTTAAGGTATCAATTTCACTATGAATGAGCAGCAATTCAATGACGAGTGATTAACCTTACATTTTTGTTTTATATTCATAGTTTTAACCATTTATTTAAATAAAAGATATCTTTAGAGAAAAAAATAATATAATGTTTTTTATTTATTTTTTACTTAAATACCAAAAACTCTACGTAGTAAAACAACAGATTGCCTTCCATAATAATAATGTTTAATTTCCAGAACAAAACCCCTATCAAGGTTATTTGTAAGCAAAAAAAGAGAGAAAATGATGTATTGTTTTTACATTGGAACTCTTTTACATTGAAGATAAATATAGATTTCTTGAACACTCTATTTTAATGATACTATATTCATAATACCTGGCATGTTATTGAATTCAGTATAAAAACTAATACCACAGTAAACTTTGTTTTTATGATGGTTCAAATTTATGTGGATTTACCAAATTTACCAAAATAAAATTTATTTAAATGGGATGAGCTGTATTCTGCTTGTTTTTTATATGTTAAGAAAGATCCAAACGAATCTATAGAAATGGGTTATTGTGGAAAAAAAGCAATTAAGAAATATCATAGATGTAAGAACACTGAACTTGACCTTTAAACCTCAGATAACATAAGTAGAGCAATATTGTGCGAGTGATTGCACTGAGGGGGCACTGTCTGAAAACAAAAGCTCAATTTTCTTTATTTTCTATTTTATAAGGACAAGGAACTTTATCTTGAGTATGCAATGCCAAGCAAGCACTTTCAGTACACACTGTGAAATTTGAGCATGATGGACCCAAAACAGAAATCAGACTAATAATATTCCCACAGTTAACAGTGACTTATACATATATGACTTTCAGCATTGAAAATTCATGCATGAAAACATGTTAAGTCTGAAGGCTTCAAAAGAGTTCAATTCAACATAATAAATAAACACAATTTATTGTGAAGAAACCTTTTAAGGCAACACAAAAACAACAAACAGCAAACATCTTCAGAGAATCATTGCAATCAAATTAAATGCCATTTATCTTTGCTTTTCCTTTGGAAAAAATATCATCAATTTTGAAATCCAAAATGTAGAATAGACTGTACACAGTACCTGATGGAGTCTTGTCATCATTTTGGGCGGAATGAGATCGTCAGCTTGTCCCGACAGAAATAATGTTGGCAGAGATATTTTTTTTATTCTCTCAGCTGACGGATACTGCAGATGTAATGAAAGCATATTAAGAACAAACAGTATACAATATATAATCAAGTAAATCATTCATTAATTTTTTGTAGGATTTTTTTCAGACAAGTCCCAACTAAAATTTCTATAATTTAGATAAGTCCATTTCTTTGAGATTTGGTTGCTTTACACAATTTTGACAAATCCAGGAATGGTTTAATTGAGCTCCATAATTCACCGATAAATTAATATAATCCCAAACAGAGTTAAGTCAGAGAAAAACATATCAAAATCAACATTTTGACAGAGCCAAAAAATAGACATTAAAAATAAATACTGATCTAAAATTATAGAAACTAGTCGACCTATGAAATTACATGTTTTAGAAGTCATTGCCGAGTTTGATTTCTGTTTTAAGTACCCCATATATTGAATTACAATATATATTGCATGCTTTATGCAAATTAGCAGTTGAATAGTGTCATGAACCCAGGATATTAATAATGGTTAATTTCAAATGAACCATATAAATATAAAATTGTGACTATGGTATTTTACCCGTATTCAGTACAATTGGATCGATATATACCAAATAAAAAATACATGTATATTATATCATATCATCATGACTTTGAAATGAAAGTCCTCTAAATCTACCATATTATTATTCCACATTACCCATGAAAAACCCTAAAAATTTGTGAAATTGTGAATTCTATGTTATTCATTAAAATTTGTCATTATATACGAAGTTGGAGTCAAAATGCACTAGAATACTTGGAATAATTCAATAAAGAGTAGATTTCCATTCCCACGATGAAAACAACAATTTACATAAAATCTGTAGTTACTTCATCTAAGGGAAAGTGATCGTAATGAAATCAAAGATATTCCCATAACAGCACGATGTGACTTTAATGAAGCAGAAATATGATACATACTTACTTTATGCTTAAATAATATTTCTGGCAAAAATTCCATTAATTTGAAATTAAATATAGTCCTTCCAATATCAGGTAGACTAGTAAAAGTGTTTTCTACCACTAAGGCTGCTATATGTTGTGCATAGAATGGTTGTGATGCTAGCCACACTGCTACAGCGCCACCTAGTGAACGTCCAAACACCACAATTTTATCTCTGTTTACGTCATTCCTGCCTAAAAGGAAGTTGATGGCTGCCTCTGCATCTCTGTACAGGCCTACAAAATAAAGCAGAAAACAATACCATTATACACCATATATTTTGTTTTCTAAAAAAAACATGTTTTAAAAGTAAAAGAAAATGAAAAAGTTGTTTCCATTGTTTTGAATGTATTACCTTAATTATGTTTTTCATTAAGCCTGCAAGAAATGTAAATAAGCCCATCAGTGGGTTGAGTAGGGGTTCAACACTAATGCTTTTATTTAATGTAGAAGGGACTGGGCTTATTTTGAAATCTTATTTTTTAAGTATTTTTACAAATTTGTATAATTAATGATAAGGGTAGGCTTATTACCAGGTACAGGGTTGTTTTATCGACAAACAAATACAGCACATTATTTCATTTTATGGTATTTTTAAAGAATATGTCACATACAAAATATATATCAAAACACTTGCAACTCACAATATAGCTTTCATTTGATCATGATAATGAAGATGGTGATATGCAGATACTATATATTTACCAAATATGAACTTACGCGGTGCAATATATGTGGTTATATCAACTATAGAGTGAGTTACCATAGAAACATTAGGTAACTGCCACTATCGCTTTTCAAATCCATATAACCATAAATTCATTAATTAAAAGGAAATCATTGTTATTTTCAATAAAAGATAATTAGGAAAGATGTAAGAGATATATTTGAGATATAAAAATATGTACAAATTGGAAGGCATCTTCAAAACAGAACACACTGATACCAAAAGACAATACAACCAGGGCTCTCGATCTGCCAGATTTGGGGCCAACTATTTTTTCTCAATTTAGACCCCAAGTTTTCCCAATTTAAGGAAAATGCAGCTATTTTCCCAATTCTTAGGGCCCTGAGCCCCAGTCCCAAAATGGGGTGTGAGAGTCCTGACAACTGTATTGCTGTCTATAAGAAAGAATATAATGATGATCAGGAAAACACCACAGAAAAATATTTCATCCATATTTATCCTCTGTTTCACCAATATCCACTGATAAGCCCAGAGAGGCTGATGGGATTTGGAATGGACAATGAAATGGCTCTTAATATACTAAAGAGCAATAGATGAGTATGGTAACTACCAGACATGGCCGAGTCATAGGATTACTTGCATGTTTTCTAAATACAGTTTCAAGAATCAAGAAAAGCTCTTACCTTATATACCAAGCTCATTCAGTAAACCTGGGGGAGTAAGGTGATGTTTTTGACTCCCAAAAATTACGTTTGATTATCAAATTTGAAGGTACATGTCTATTTTAAATGTTTTGATATTTTTGAATTGTGACTTGCTGTCCAAAATTGTCGAAGTGCAACTGAATATCCTGATTCCCTTTATATGAATATTTGAATTTAAAAATGCAACTACAATGCAGATGAAATGGTCAAAAATAGAATGAAGACTTGCCTGTTTCGGAGGGAGTGCCCTCACTCTTTCCATATCCTCGGTATTCCACTAGTAATACATTCACACCACATGAGGTAAAAAAACCATGGCTGTTTATAAGCCTGCAATGATAAAGGCTGATGATTTATATCATGAAATATTAATCTTATTTCACCAACTGATTACACTTTAAACACTTGAATGAAAAATAATGCTATGAAGGTAACTTTTTGAACAATAGTTGCACAAATCAAATCCATGTATTTGTCGACAAATATTTTTATTGAATACTGTATTGTCTCAAACAAAGCTGTGTTACATACATTTAAAACTCCATCCCTTTAGATAGATGTGATCATTCCTCAGAAAACTGGTTAGGTGTGAAGCATAATAATATAAACCAGTTTGGGTGGTAAGGCAGCATAGTGATAACACACTTGCCTTTCACCTTGACATCCTGGGTCTGATTCCCTAAATGGACGTGAAAAGGTGTAGATCACTAGGGGATTTCTCAGATACTCTGGTTTCCTCCCATAGTAAGACCCCCTGTGTACTTCTATCCAGGTCAACATGAGTGATTGATACAAGCTTAATTAAAGTTTATATAGAATAAACCAGATCCATCAATTTCTAAAGTTCTTTTGAAAACCAACAATTTTTACAGGATTCATGCTTCAACAAAGTCTCCTGTTGGTACATGTATTGCCCAAGTCATGTTTTCTGGAGGGATTGACTACAGAATCACTGAAAATGTATGTTGATCTGTAAAAGTGTAGTCACTTATATACTAGTAGAGAAACTGAAAGTAATGGCATGTATCTTATCAATAATTTTGTTGTAATTTATCTTTTATAGGACAATCGGGTTTCTTTTTCTAAAACACAATCCCAAATAGAAGCTGACTTGATTCCTACCTGTGGCCTATATTTCCTGCATTGCCATGAAAATATATCACAGTTGGAGCATTGGCATGAGTATGTTTAATGAAGACAAGGTTGATTCGAACGTTGTCTGATGTGCGGATAAAGTGATTTTCATAAGGAAGGTTGACCGTATTTGGAAGCTGGACAAACAGGCGTGATTGTGGCGGCTGATCGGGGTAATACAACAGCATGTCCTGAGCATTGTAAAACAAACCTGTAATACACAAATAACAAAAAGCAGAGAGATTATATATCCTTTTTCCATTAAAACTGACTTCAAAACATAGGGCACATCTGTCCCAAATAAAGATATCTTCCTGACAGAAAAAATGTCACTGAAGCTAAGGAAATTGATAAGTGTATATTGTTCAAAGACATTAATTATCACTATAACTATATTAATTATTGATCATTCATTAAAAGTACCTTGTTTTGTATTGAAATATGTGGCTTTTTCAAAACAATACACCCCTAAAACAATTGGCAGGTTTATCCTGATGACTCTTTCAGGACACTGTATTTTTTAAGAAGTGATATTGTGTATTTATTATAAAACCTCTTACATACTGAAACAATATCTAGAACTAGGCAGCCTTAATCCAAAAGTCACTCTATATACATGACTGTTTGTCAGGCATGCATCATAACCAGATAATTTCATTTAAAAACACCAGTCATTCCAAACACTAGTTATACTATATGTTGCATGTTTATTTGAACAAATCTACATGTAACACTAGTTGTAAAAAGGACATTATCATCGTCTTTCAGTTCATAAACAGATGATCATGTGAATGTTTTAATGTTTCATAAATGCATATATTACGTAAACAAAGTTTACACTGTGTATAGAAGTGACCATAAGGTTTCTTAGTAGACTGCTTATCTACTGACAGTAAGACTGTCATGATGGGTTCATTCAGACCATGTCTAGGTCAGAGGGTCTAAGGTTTGAGCCCTGGTCTGGTAGTTTTCTGCTCCTGTTACAATAAGATACCGCTTTGTTAGGCTCTTTATGTTAGCTCTGTCAATTGAGTATAAGACTAGTTTGCCAAATGTCCGAAGTTTTATTACTTTGATATTGAAACGCTTCCATCCTATCAACAACCATTCAAGGTTGAATATTCGTTGATTATGTAACATAGGTCATTATTTATTTCAATGCCTCTGCTAGGATTTGAACCCAGGACCCTGGCTTAATAGTCTGACATTCAACCGATCGAGCAAAAGAGAAGTTCTCTCTAGCGGAGCGGTATATTGCAGTCCGCAATACCAGGATTACGATCATAAAATTAGTTGTCCACAAGCTAAATGAGGACGAAAAGATTTTAAATATTACAACTGTGTAAAAGCTGTAGTGTCATGTTGGTATCAATGACGTTCAGCTAAATGATCATTTGCTACATATCGGTCAAATATTTTAAGGTCAAATGACCAATATAGATCAAGAACTTCTGAAAGACGTCTCCTCCAAACCAAACTCCAAAATGAAAGTTATCAACGATCCGCGGTTAACTCTCCAACATGTTGCCTACCTACGAGAGCGAAGATGAGGAGAAGGAATGTGATTACACCTCCTGTTGTCCAGAACGCCAACAACAGAATCAGAGCTGCAGACGTACATAACTTCCAGAAGCGCATAACAACAGCAAATACAAGTCGAGTTATCAACTCGATTGTCCGAAATCCTTTCCCCATCTCTGATGAGTTTGTATTATAATGAGACTCAGCGTTTCGGTTTGCTGATCCGGTCTCTACATTTTCGGGCATATCAACTTGTAATAAAAATCGGTTAAGTATTTCTTCTTTGTAGTTTCGCCTTGTCACCGCTGTGAAACGTGTCTCTGTCTGTTTCCGACGTCCATGTTTGTTTGGTGAGCGAGGTCATAGGTCAACAGTTGAGGGAGAAGTCATTACTTAAGTTGAGGGAGTGATTATTAATTGCAACCACAGACTGGCGGCACTTCCGTAAGCTATATTGAAACAACTGTTTTCCCGCTTTGCAGCTAGAATACGTAGAGAACGAAATCTTACGAAAAAGAAACAAATAAGAGATATATATTTCGGTATAAGTTAAGTTAAGTTTATTACCAGAACAGGATATACCTATCCTCTACTCTGGTCTCAAAAAAACATACAATATATATACATGATATTTCATATAATAAATATAGTATGTACAAATCAAAATAATATGTCCAGCTTTTAGTTCTGTTGAATTACTATTAAGACAGTCTATATTGATATATCAGCTCTATAATTAAAAATGATATCTTGGTTTTCCCATAACTTATCAAGCCTATTTTTGAAACAGTTCGTGTTTGAGGCAGATACAACAGTTTCTGGTAATGTGTTCCAAATGCGTGCTGCTCTCACAGAAAAGTAATTACTTCTTAGTTTAGATTTAGCTCTTTGTGGAAAAAGTTTTTTTGAGTTTACTCTAACACTGTGTTTATCGGACATGTTCTCCCATAACTTTATGCATGTACAGCACTCTTTGTCGTACACTCCGCTGATCATTTTATATATCTCGACCATGTCACCTCGCAAGCGTCTATAGGCCAAGGTAGGCAGTTTTAGTGTTTTTAATCTTTCTTCATATGATAAATTCCGTAATTCAGGTAGGCACCGCGTTGCTCTTCTTTGAACATTTTCAATAAGATCTATATATTTGTATTTGTAGGGATACCATACTGCACTTGCGTAGTCTAGCTGGGATCTAACAAGCGATTTATATAATGGAATGAATAATTTGATGTCCATAAACTGGAAAGTTCTTCTTAGCATCCCAAACATTGAGTTAGCTTTTTTCACTTTCTCACTGATATGATTTTCAAAACTCAAGTCAGACTCAAAAATAACTCCAATATCTTTCCCCTTCGATGTTGTCTGAAGTTGATTTCCATTTAGATGGTATATAGCCATATCTGTATGTGTTCCTATACGCATATGTTTGCACTTGTCCGGGTGCATTTTCAGCAGCCACTCCTCGCTCCAGTTACACATAATATCTAAGTCTTTTTGCAGTTTTGTTGAATCTCCCTCCTTAGACAGAATTTTGAATATCTTAGTGTCATCTGCAAAAAGGTACATTTCTGAGTTCACCAAGTCTGGCAGTTCATTGATGAAGATGACAAAAAGGAGTGGCCCCAAGACTGATCCCTGAGGTATACCGGAAGTAACATTTTGCCAATCTGAGACTTCTTCATTCACTGTAACCCTTTGTTGGCGACCTTGTACAAAGTTTGAAATCCATAATATCAACTGTTTTGATAACCCATAAGAGACAAGCTTGTTGATTAGACGCAGATGAGGAACGGTATCGAAAGCCTTCTTGTAATCCATATATATGCAATCAACAGCATGGCCCTCATCAAGTTACGTCTTTTTAGATATATGCTTTTAATTAAACAACTTTTTAAACAGTTAAATGATATCACTTAAACTTACACACGAAAGAAGGGGCCTGAATAGCTAACACTAATTCATATCACCAGAAATGTGATATATACGTCTCTGATACCACCACAATCAATAAATCCAGAATTGCATTCGGGTATCTAAATACATTGGGTAGAACAGACTATAACCTGCAATTAATTTATCATTTCAAGCGAGATGAGTACAGGTACGAGATTTAAATATACAATGTACGTATATGTTATGTTGTAATGACTATAGCCAATCACTCGGTAATAATGAAAAAAGGAAACACCAAGTGTTGACAGACGTTAGAAACCATTGAAAGGCAGGTAATGTGACATCCCGGGTCGAGATGACTAGAAAGTCTAACCTTGTCATCTCGAACTCGAACAAAAAAATCGAGACAACCCAGTATTAGATTTGAGTGAGTTCGAATATTTGTGTGAGCTAAGCACACTGTCGTGATCGTGCGATGGGCAAGACTTTTCAAGATGGCGGACCAACGTAACACCGGAAGGTAAGCTCTGTTTTCAAACGGTAGTATCCGTAATTTATATACTCACTATGATCATGACACATATTGTATCTGATTCGCAAATTGTGTTAACATTGTTGTAAGTATCTATTTGGATGATGATAGACTTAAAATGTAATGCAATCTGCGTGTAGACTTTGTCAACATGCCAATTTATTATATACGTTGGTCCGCCATATTGAAAAGTCCTACCCATCGCACTATCACGACAGTGAAGCATGGACTGACGAAATCACGCTTCGAGTCAATAGGGGTCTTCGGGTTATACGAGTCCAAGAAAACGAGATTCGACTGTGAAATAGAAGGTATTGTCTAGGAACCACAGGAGGGCTAACACACCTGTATGATGTACACGCCTACCTCCACAATATATAGCAAGAATATCTCGAGCTGCGAGAGGATGACTGTCATTATATACCCATTACATAGTCAGGCTACAAGGAAATGATAAATCTGGTTATGTTATTTAACAAACAGAATCTAGAACGCGGATCAGATCTTGATTTGAAAAAGTATTTACGAAATCATAGAATTTTCCTGCTTATGCGCCACGATTAAGATATTAACAATTTCTTTATTTTTTCTTACATAGCATTTGTATATTTAATTTGTTGTTTTGATATAGAATGGTATGTTGGTTAATATTTGTGTTACTTCTGACAAATTTGAGTCTCCAGATGAATTATATGATAATGTAATTCTGAACAAATCCATTCATTAACTCTTTAGAAATATTCGCATTCCCCGAATGTAATTTTTCTGTATTTTACTGTTGAAAATACACCATATTTTATTCCATACCTTAAACTTGTCATGTCTTACCAGGTGCAGGCTTCATAGACACTGCTTTAGTTGATATGTATCGTCCCTGACGCAACAGTGATGTTTTGTGTTCATATTTACTTACAGTGTACTTCAAAAGGCTGAAATTTACCATGCGGGTATCCTTAATGATGAGGAAGCTTATCCATCCGGAACACCTGGCCTTATTCTTTCTCCTTGGTCACCGTTGCTTATGTTTCATAAATTTCGAGTTTTAATTTAGTTTCTGAGGCCACGTTGGAAGGCATGCCCTATCTTTTTTGTATCTTTTTAATCATGTAGACTTGAAACGTATGAACAATATTGAATTTCGGGGTCCCCTTCTAACCTTCGAACTAAAAGAAAGTTGACTGTGTTTTGATTGTACTTGTAGCTTGTAGTGACCATTAAGACACTCTCCTTGCTTTCATACAGGCAACTTAAGTTAAATACACTTGTACCTTGTCAGGTCCGCTAACTAAAAATGCTTGTCTTATCATTCTAAGAGTTATCGCCCTTCGAATCCAAACACGGCAAAATCATGACGTTTTCAATCATTCTAAGAGTTATTACCAATTATCTGACACCGAACATCCCAATGGATAAAAACCATCAATGTTCGCGGTAAGAATTGTCATCCAACATTTCAACGTGTACTGATTACTGTTTTATTTTATTATTTAAGATTTTGTGAAACGCCCAGAAATGTTAAAGGTGAAAGAAAACCCAATTGGGATTGTTCAATATAACTGACATAATAAATTTGACAAATTCATTTGATTTTCGTTAAGTTTTAGACTCCTGTTGAACAGATTTCATATGAATAACTTCCATAAACACTGTCCAGATGTTTCAAACCTCCGTGCGTGCGTGCGTTTGTGTGTGTGTTTTTTTTCAAACTTAACTTGATCCTCTCTGTGCCAGGAGGCACACAAGGCTTGGACATCCCTTCTCCACTGTTTTCTATCTTCGGCGGCACGGCGTGCAGAGTTCCAGGTACTCCAGCCAGCACCATTCCGCTCCACCTCCAGCATTCTTCGCCAAGTTGTAGTGGGCGGCCTCTTTTCCTTTTTCCCTCTGGTGTCCACCCGAGGGTCACAGCACAGTCATCTCGTTGATCCTTCCTCTGGGCGTGTCCAATCCAGTTCCATCTCCTTCTTCTCACCTCCTGTCTTATCTTCACTGTCCCTGCCATCTCCAGAACTGTCTTATTCGAGATGTGCTGCTCCCATCGAATCCTGAAGATCCTTCTCATACACTTATTTTGAAAGGTATCTAGTTCCCCCCCCCCTCTCCAAAACCATCTATAAATGACACATATTGTTTCAGGTGATCACGAACCGATCCAGTCATCAAGTATTGCAGAATTTCAGCCAAACTACCGAGCATGAACATTTAGCTTTAAATTCCAGTTATTTACAACGTGTCTTCAGGTAGATATTTACAGTATACTTGCGTTGCATAGTATCTAGATTTATCAACATTTACACCTGGCGATAAAGTTTGCGAAAGAGTATACGGACTTGTTACCATTCATATCGGTTGTCAAAGCTCTATGTTGCCTTACTCCATCAATTTTATATGGTAAATATGAGGATAAAGAATGAAATCGTGATATATAAGCATACAGCACCCTGCACAGACATCAAGACACTTTCATTTTGCCACACGGTAAAGAATTGGTTTGGGTGATAAATCGGTAACCTTGAAAACAGTGTTAACGCGAATCTTGAGGACTTTTGTCACGTGGCCTAATCAAGAAAGACGATATGCAATGGTCGATTCGTTGCGGATCATCACGGGTCTGTATGAATGCAATTATTAAACAGAAACCTCTATTTTATCAATTAATTGCTCTTGGTACTAGTTTAGTGTCAAGACGTCGTCAAGGACGCACAGGTGGCATCGCCTACTGTTTCATGTTTCATCAGTTGAGCTGCACTTGCCTTTGGTTTAACGGTTTGAATATTGATTACTTATTTTTAAACGTTTTATAAACTTTGTTTCTTCATTATTATTTTCTTAACATACATTGTGGTAATTTCATGACTACAAACGCCTATGGAAATATATATTATGAACAAACAAGATGTGTTTATGAAACACTGTGTCCCCAGTCGCAATACATTTCTGAAGTGGGATGTTAAAACTGTACTGTATAAAGCATGTGCTGATAACATGCATGATTTTCAAATGTATGTCAAAGTCACGGTAGAGGTCACATGATCAAAAGATCTGGTATCATCGGAAAAGCCTTGTGACAAGGAAAACACATGACAAATATGAAAGGCCCTACCTCTTACGGTACAATAGTTATGGACAAGGTTAAAGTAGACAACAGACAAACAAACAAACAGAAACAGAACAAATATCCTTAATTACAAACATTACACCAAAAATGAATTCTGCAGTGGTTATGTTTATCGGATGTGATGTCGTCTTCAGAGTCGTGGTTCCTCAACTCGCTATACAGGGCAATTTATAGTTTTAAAATATGTTCAACTAGGAGTTCCCTGTATGAATTAGCTTGACATTACGGTAAGAAATGGGAACACGCCGTAATGTGGCAGGAATGTTGTTCCATACCTGCTGCACATAAAACGAACACCTCAGATTGACACTATGCCTTGTTCCTGCACCGGTTTGATTCACATTGGTAAGTACATAAATCGATGTATCATGAAACAATGATATGTGCATCAGTTGTGAGCGAACACATGTCAGCATGTTTCTTTAAGAAATGTCTCACGTCAGTATTTACTGTAGAGAAATTACAATGTATGCAGTTTATATGGTAGCTGATTTCTGCCATTTCGTTTTGACGCCCCGACAGAATGATAATTATCGTCTTTTCGCCCACGCTAGTTATATAATTTTTTTCTGTCGGGGCGACAAATCGAAACAACGAAATGGCAGAAAGCAGCCACCTTACGTTTATGATACATGTGTGTATATAATTACTCAGGCATGCAAACACACAGTGGATGTATTCTGCAAAAATGGCGTCGGTGATATAATCTGGTAACTCGATAATAGCCTCGTGACTATAAATACGGAACCCTCGGGAGCTGTCGACCGACAATGTATAGTTTAGATAAATATTTCGTAGCTCACTTACAGTAAACAAAACAATGACTAATCATGTGAACAATATTGAGGAAGTGTGCAATGCATATGTATGTTGACGTTGATACTTACATGTACACTATTTTTTAACGAGAAGTGTACGATGCAGACATGATCATAACAAAGACATTCATTCTTGATTCGGTTTTATCTGGGTTCAGAATGTTTTCAATTACTTTCGGGAAGTATAAGGTGGTAGTACGAGACGTCCATATCATACAATGATAGATATAAGAGCTATTCGATTAGATTTTTTAGTGAGAAAAGTGTACGGGCGTCACTACGTACATGTCACGACTAATGCTTTGTTGTCTGTTTGCTTTGTTTTTCAATTGTTTCTCGGTCAATATCCATGTTTCTATAACCAAATTGTATAACCAGTTCCGTGTCAATAACTATCGGACCACGTGATCCTTAGGTAATGGCCGTAATGACAACTGTAATACAGAACATTTTCTCATCGAAATTTATTTCATACCCCACATTATAGTAAAATGTATATGTGTACATATACATATATGAATATGCAGGGAGATACTGAGTAACTCCAGTAAAATCTTCTAAATTGACAATTCATTATAGACCAAGGCTATTTATATCGCAAAGTGAACGCTTAGTAATTATTTTCTCCCAATATTGCCATCATCTGTAAACAGCTCATATTTCAAACGTTTGTCTACGCTACCCCAAAAATGGCCTATGTACATGTACCACTTGGCTCGTCATCGTTAAGTCCTAGACGGTTTGTTCTCCTTTCTCTCACTTTTTCCAGATCAAAGGAATAATATAAACATTGGAAAACAATAGAGGTCTCATTATGATCTGTTCTACTATAGTACCTGTGTAGTACAGGTAAATCATTTATCCGTATTTACCTGTTCACCAATAGGCAATATTGTATAAGTAAAGTAATATTTAACATGTGTATTTTCCTAATTAAAAAAAAATAACTGGAATTATGAGTAAAAATATAATCAAGATTTCCATTATTATCTTATAAAAACATGATGTTTATTCATTTATTTTTTTCTTTTACTCACTAGATACTTAACAAATTGACTTTTTTATTATACAGTTTACATGGATGTAATATATAGAACTAAACTATGGTAGCAATGAATGACAGAATTAAATTGCTGGCTTGTTTTTCCTGACGCGGATGGTGTTGTAGATGTTTTGGTGGGCGTGTTCCACTTTCGTCTTAATTTATGCCATCCCTCTATGTGATTTGTTGTCCTGGGTCCCTGGGTCTCGAAGTGGTTCCATAACTGTCGATCTCGGTCAATCCACAGTGAATGTGGTAGCGTCCTGTTGTATATCTGCATCTTCTAGGTCCTCAAGCGCATTGAACCAGACATCTTCTACACGATCATAGACATAGGCACTATTAGCTAAAACATCCAAGGGCAGTTGACTTTCACACCTCGGCGGCAGGCCTCTTTTAGCCCCCACTCCCCATCCGTCCTATCAGAAATGTTTTGAAAAGATTAATTAGAAACTTTTGGAGGAAAATGTTAATCAAACACAGCATCTCTAATTAACTCTAATTGATACAGTATTTCAATTTGATATATTCCATCATACAATCATATAGAAACAAAATCAATATACAGGTTATGATTAACATGTTTCGAGACATTCGTAATTATCAGATATCAAAAGACATGCATACATGCATTTTCTAGCATTTGAAACAACTAGGAAAAGGTAGAAAACAGTCTCAAATCCCTTTATTATACGTTTCAGAATTTACCTCGCATAGTCGACATTCAAAACCTGTTTAAAAGAAGATTTAATTGTTGGCGCGCTAGTATCACATTTAGTACATTGGACTTGCAAAAATCACGGACTTGTTGCTTGAAAATTAAGAACATTGTTTGATGTTTAACAACCAAGCAAATGGATTACAAGAGTTGACTTAATGACTGCTATTTATAAATGTAAGTCATCAATCTTAATGAGAAATAAAATGTACGGGTTCAATAAATTCGAGACATGCCCTGTACTATATATCTTATTTGGATAGAAGCATGGCAACAACGAAGAAAAATCTTTTTAAAAAATTCTGTGGTTAATCAATTTCTAATCATTGTCCTTTTCCTTAGTGTAATGGGTTACTTTAAAATATACTTAACGGTAGATGTTGTAGATCACTTCCGATCCGAATCTTTGATCAAGAATTTTCAGTTGTTTATCTTCAAATTTTAATTGCAACAGGAATAATTTATTGTTCTATTCAAATATATCTTAAGATTCCGGACCTTCTTGCAGTTTTATTTGTTTAACCAAAACCAGGAGTGTCTTTGTCATACGCCCCTGACAAAATCAGATCATTTTATTGTAAAGTGACTATATGTGTGAAATCATACAGGACAAAGAGTGAGACGACGAGAAATTAGCCCATGAGAGAGATAGCTATAGCTCACACCTGTCCAGGTAAACCAAAGGGGTTCTTAGTTGGAGGTTTACGGGCGCGTCCTTCGAAATAACTGACCATGTGTACTTAAATAACAAAATGGGATGTTTTTATGCAGAGATTGTTGAACTGAATTGGAACACTCTGACTTTTATAAGGATATTTTTAGGGTTTTTTTTTTATTCTAAACATGAATATTTATGTTATCGCGAATTCAGATTCGAAATAAGTCCGACATGTTAAGTTATTATTATCATTATTTTAGTTAATGCGTCTCGTGTTGAAATGTCTATCTAAAATGTAGTATACACACTAGTACCACGGACTTGTATATTAGATATTTAAGTCCGTGCTAGTACTATTAATTAAATTAGAAAGAAGAAAAATATTGGTTACATTTTTTAATTATGATTATTTACGCTAATAAAAATAATATATATAAAAAAGCACCTTACGTGTTACACCACTGGTGCCCGTGAATCAAATTCCATATCACTCGCTCTTTCGAATTAAATATTTGCTCGTTTACAACCTCATTGACATACTTTTTGACTTCAACGACTGTACATGTGTATACTGTTTGGCGTCATAAAAATCTTGACGACGAAGATATATGATATTTTCACGTAAAAATATCGATTTTGTATATGTTGGGTTTAGTATTCAAGCTAGCGTGCAATATGATCATAGCATGTAAAACAGCCATTGATAAATGTTATTTATTTCAATGCATGGATGTTGATTTCAAATACCTGAAACTTCATTACAAACTTTGAAGCACAAGGCAAAAAATATTTTTATTATCTATAACCTGGTCCTTCTGATGAAAAAGATATTTTAACGATGCATGGTATATAAATATGCCAAAATGGATGTAAGGGGCCACAAGAACAAATAGAATCAGTCGGACTACTTGTGAACGATTTTGGTCGTAAATTTTCACGGGTATGTGTTCGTCAATAGCATGATAGAGAGAAATGTAAAAACTTGTCAGGACACATCGTCTTTAACTGTCCGGGTCCGTACGTTCAGTATTTAATCTGGCGTCCAAGTCATCGACACCGTATTCTTTAAACTGTTGTTATACCGGAAGTAGTTACAACCAAATATTATAACAGTACATGTTATCTTTGTTAACATAAGATTACTAATTAACAATAAACTGTCGTGTTAAGAAATGTATGATCGGTGAAAAAGACACATTTTTGCAGGCAAACATCAAATTGCGTGCACGGCGAAATCATAAGTGATCCATACTACTTGAATTTCGAGACTTCATTTACAAAAGTTAAAAGAGTTTTTTCCACGATTTCGTTTGTTTGTTTGTTTTTGGGGTTTTCTTTTATGTTAAATTGTATTACATCATAATCTAAAAACACTACCAACCAGATCTCAAATATATCCCACTACTTTTTTTGGCAGTCGAAAACACTCATTAATTTTATTTATTTAGTCATTTAACTGGTTTTTCGTCAGCTAAACTCCGACCTTTCGGTTTAACAGCGAGCCAGAATTGACAAGAAAATCGGCAGAAAGGGAAAAGTATAAAGTGATGGGACAGAGTGGGATACAGAGAAGGGGTAGAGAGGGGCCGTCTGTACTATCAGTGACTGGAGAGAGTGGGATACAGAGAAGGGATGGAGAGGGGCCGTCTATACTATCAGTGACTGGAGAGAGTGGGATACAGAGAAGGGGTGGAGAGGGGCCGTCTATACTATCAGTGACTGGACAGAGTGGGATACAGAGATGGGGTGGAGAGGGGCCGTCTATACTATCAGTGACTGGACAGAGTGGGATACAGAGATGGGGTGGAGAGGGGCCGTCTATACTATCAGTGACTGGAGAGAGTGTGATACAGAGATGGGGTGGAGAGGGGCCGTCTATACTATCAGTGACTGGACAGAGTGGGATACAGAGATGAGGTGGAGAGAGGCCGTCTATACTATCAGTGACTGGACAGAGTGGGATACAGAGATGAGGTGGAGAGAGGCCGTCTATACTATCAGTGACTGGAGAGAGTGGGATACAGAGAAGGGGTGGAGAGGGGCCGTCTATACTATCAGTGACTGGAGAGAGTGGGATACAGAGAAGGGGTGGAGAGGGGCCGTCTATAC